TTTTTCCCAGAGATCGAAGTTAAGGTTATCAAGGACTGATTTAGATAGGATGTCTCAATCAGCAAACTGGTATAGCACAGCCATGTTCTCCATGATATACAGAAAACCCATGATAGATTTTAAATAATAATGATATAAAACTAATGTACTGCCATGTTACAGACATTAAGTTGTTGTGACCTAAGAGCTTGCTCCAATTAGATCAGTTTAGGAACTGCTCAGTAGCTTTCTTGAAACTGTTTACCAATGAGACTGATAAGCCTAAATGACAATAAATTGCTAACCAATCTTATCTCTCTTCCCGTCGATGGAAAGCTAGTTGGTTCCCAACTCCACCCTTTTGTTCCCTTCCCTCCGGGCGGAGGCGGGGGGTGGCCCCTGCGCCTACAATTTCCTTTTCCCAGCCTCCCTCCTTGGATAATTTTAAATTTTGACCTTAAAATTAATATATTTTAATCTTTAGGTCCTCTTAGAATACTTTTTCTAGTTTGACCCTTTCAAACCTAATATTCCGGCTCCGCCCAGCCTCCACTATCTCTCAAGGCGACACATAACGTTCCTTCTATAAATATCCTGACCATCCAAAGTTCATAGCAGCTTTTGAACTCCCCCTTCATACTTCTTAGCATTCCTGTGCAGAAGTCTTGGTCTTGAAAGTGATATTCTAAAACAAAACAAAAAATTTGAAGCAGTAATGGCTCAGCTCATTAGCGTTGTCTTGGTTCTTGGTCTTGCTTTCCTGGCCTTTTCTCCGATATGTTTTTGTGGCAAGACAACTGGTGGCTACCTCTATCCACAGTTTTACGATAGGTCATGCCCCAAAGCTCGAGAAATAGTCAACTCCATTGTAGCCAAGGCAGTTGCTAAAGAAGCTCGTATGGCAGCCTCATTACTTAGGCTCCATTTTCATGACTGCTTTGTCAAGGTCTATAACTGATCACTATACATAACTCTCATCACTTGCTCTTCTACTATCATGAATGATGTGATTTACATTATTTTGTTAAAATCCCAGGGTTGTGATGCATCAATATTGCTAGACAGCACCGGAAGAATAATAAGTGAGAAGGGGGCAAATCCGAATAGAAACTCAGCTCGAGGATTTGAAGTAATTGACGAGATTAAATCTGCACTAGAGGAGGAGTGTCCTGAAACAGTTTCCTGTGCTGATATCTTGGCTTTGTCTGCCAGAGATTCTACCGTTCTTGTAAGTGTTACATGTTTGTCCTGTAATGATATTGAACCAACCTTTTCCAGCCAAAATTCCAGAGCTGATCCTTTTGTTTATGCATACAGACTGGCGGTCCAAGCTGGGAAGTTCCATTGGGAAGAAGGGACTCTAGAAGTGCGAGCTTGAGTGGTTCCAATAACAATATTCCTGCTCCAAACAACACATTTCAAACAATTCTTACCAAGTTCATGTTACAAGGCCTTAATGTTGTTGATCTTGTTGCTCTATCTGGTAAGTTAACTCGACTATTCACCTTCTCTGAATTTCCGCAAACTATGAATATGGTCCTTAGTTTTGAAAAATTTTGTTCAGGGAGCCACACAATTGGAAATGCTCGGTGCACCAGCTTCAGGCAGAGGCTGTACAACCAGTCAGGAAATGGGAAGCCTGACTTCTCTCTTCAACAATCGTTTGCTGCCCAATTGCGGAACCGGTGCCCCAGATCAGGAGGTGACCAGAACCTGTTTTTCTTGGACTTTGTAAGTCCAACAAAGTTCGACAACAGCTACTTTAAGAACATATTGGCTTCAAAGGGACTGTTGAGCTCTGACCAAGTTCTCCTGACAAAGAATGAAGCATCAATGGAATTGGTCAAGAAATATGCTGAGTGTAATGAGCTTTTCTTTGAGCAATTTTCCAAGTCCATGGTTAAGATGGGAAACATCTCTCCATTGACAGGTTTCAGGGGAGAGATTAGAAAGAGTTGCAGGAAGATTAATTCTTGAATTGCGGTACCTAGTTAGATCTATGCTTTAAATAATTGGTGCTAAAATGCTTTGTGGCTGTTTCCTATTTTATGTCGTCTTTCTTGAGGTTCTTTCACGTATAAATGTTATGCCAGCTAAATTCAAAAAACATATTGACATCGCAAGGTGCATTTAAACTTTCCAGAATAAGAATATATAGTTACAAAAAAAAGGGCATCAGAGTTTATTTTCCATCACGCTTCTTTGTAGCGATAGCATGAACAAACCCAAAAGGCAGGACTTCAAATTTTTCAGAAGATGATATGAACTGAATGACTTTGTTTGTTTTACTAGCCTTCACACACTAATAGAAAATTGGAAAAAAAAAAAAAACCAGAAACGTCAATATAAAGTATCTCATCTGTTGATGAAAATTGTGATAAAATTTTTTTTAATAATTTTTATGAAAAAAAGATGAAATAAAAAAATAAAAGAATTTTATTAGCAATTTTGTCAATATTAATGACGTGTTAAATTACAAATGATAATTTTGTTAATAATTTTAAAATAAATTAAAACTGATAATTTTTTTTTTTGATGTAATCTAAACTGCATCAAATAATTCATTAAAAATTTTAGGTTGGTCAATTACAAGATAAGGGGAAAAATAACTTAAAAATGCATTCAATAAAATCAAGTATTTGGACCAAGTGATGATCAAACATTAGTCAATCTAATTTATGGCTATGTCTATTTCTTGAAATTTACTTTCTGGAAAATTATTTTCCAAACTTTCATGTGTTTGTTTGCCTTTATTTTTCAAACTTTCATGTGTTTGTTTGCCTTTAAAAAAGTTGGTCAAAGAAAAACACTTTCCAGTCAAAGAAAAATTTGGCTTGATTTCCAGAAAAATATTTTTCTGAAAAATTTGAACGGAAAACACTTTCCGAAAGTTGTGAAAAAATTAAAAATATCATATTATTTGCTAATTATATCAAATTTGGTCCTCAAACTTTTGATTGTTATGTATATTTTATTTTTAATGTTTATTTTTCAATTTCATTTCTTAAAATTTAATTTTTATATTAACTTTGGTCCTCATTTTTATAATTGTTATTTGCTTTTCCCCTATTTTTTTATTGAAATTTTTTATCTATCAAATTTGGTCCTCATTCTTTTGATTGTTACTTATTTTATTTGAAATCATTTATGAAATATTAATTATTATTATTATTTTAATTTCTTCATCTTTTATTTTTTTATAGATTTGATCTTTATTATTTTGATTATTATTTATTTTATTTGAGATCATTTATGAAATTATATTTTTTTTCAATTTCATTCTCATTCAACTTTTTAATTTGTAAGATTTGTTTCTCATTATTTTAATAAATTTAAGAAAAATAAAATATTAATAAGTTATTTTCCAGTTCATTTTTCATAACACTAACAAACATCGAAAAATAATTCACTTTTTAAGAATGCACTTTTTTTGAAATTTACTTTATAAAAATAAATAACTTTCCTATAAACAAACAGAGCCTATATATAAGAAAGCTCTAATCCATTTACAACATAAGCCTAATGCCTAATGATTTTGCAATGATAAGCTAATTAATTTCAATAGTTAGAGGCATATTTTTTCTAGTGCACAAGTTTACTCTAAAAAATATAATTTTTTATCTAATTATTAGATCAGTATGAAATTTTACCAAAAATTTCAAAAATCTTGTTCTATGTTAGATAAAATTTTTAGGACAATCAAACATTGAAAATGCTTTGTATAAGGTTTAGAAATTATTATACAAAAATTGTATTAATTTCCTAGCTCATCTAAGATTTTTTTTCTATTTTATTTAAATTTTTTTATATTTTTAAGCACTATTTAGGACATATTTATCTATTATAAAATATGATTTTTTTTTACTTGTATTTAGGTTTTTTAGGGGGGGGACTTTGATTACAATAGTTATTATTGCATTTGTGAGGTTTTATTCATACTTTTGATTTTTTTATCAAACTACTTAGACTTGTTAAACAATTAATCAAGTTTCACGACGTCTTCTATATTTATTGTTTTAATGTTTTCTTTATATTAAAAAAATTGAATAATGATATTTTGGATAGATACAAGTCAAATCGGGTTAACCAACTTAACCTGTGACTTAAGTCATGGCCTTTGTCTAGCTTAATAATTTTATTTTTTAAAATTTATTTTTTATTTAATTGTATAATTATAAAAAGAGATTTTTGCAAGAAACATAAAAAATAAAAATATCAAGAAGAAATGTGTTTCTTCAATCTTTACTCTTCTCTTATTAATGCATCTCTCTATTATTTTAATAAAAATATTTTTTTATTATAAGCATTATTTTTTAAAATGAAAACCTACCATGAATCAAAAGCAAATTTTTTTAAAAGTATTAAATTAATATCAATATTTTATATGTGATTAAAGGGAAAAAAATAATAAACATGACAAAATCATGTCAATAATCTATCAAAAAATTTAAAAATTGAAGAACATAAATTATATTTTTGCTTAATTTAATTTTTTCAGGGTTAACTTTTGTGCATGCATGAGCGTATTGTCAAGCTGATAACAAAATCAAGCTTTCGTTTCGCGTGAAAGGGATCATTAAAGAGCAATATGTTATTCAATACACACACACACACACACACACATGCATGCATCTCTTTCTAGTAAAACGAGTAACCTCACCCTAGTTAATACAAGTATAAAAGAGAGAAGTGAAATCATAGGTGAAGATTAGTAAAGATGTTTTTAATATTTTTCACCAGTCATAAATTTTATTTTTTCTTTCTTTTTTATATTTATTTTTTACTTGAAATAAACTCACAAAATACCACTAGTAAAGTTTTTCACTTCTATGTTCTAATAGCAAGGATACAGAAACCAATCAGTACTCTGTAGCATCTCAGAATCTCCAATAAAATGGTGTCACCATTCACCAACTCATAATCAGTGATTCTATGAACAAAATCCAACAGTGAGCCGTAAGTCTAGGCTGCATTATAATGGTCACCATTATGCGGGCAAACTCAAATCAGAACATAAGATGTTGGAGAAATGGTTGCAGATGGATTGAAGGGTTACAATCATGTGCCAGTTATAGCACCACAACAAATATCTACGGCTGGGTGCCAACGAGCCAAGTTTGTTTCTCAAATTACTAGAACACATTGTTTCTCTTCCTTTACACACCTGGCGTTTACAGGAGTTAATTAGCATTCAGAAAGATTTGGTTTTCAAAATGCTTCCCCCCAAGTTTACATTTTTCTTTGGAAAAAAGCGACCATCTACCATGATTATTTGAACTAGCAAGCATGGAAATGCTTCAGTTGTTACACTTTATCATCATGGAACCACCACCTGGTCTCCTTCGGAGATCTTCCATTTCTACAGTTCTTTACATATCGGTCATTATCCTCGGGACGTTGCTGCAAGCAAGGGTCAACCTCATTAATCTTACAATCTTATATGCAAAAAATAAGTTATAAAGTGGTTGTGCCATCTAATGAATCATGAGATGATTAAACCTAAAAGGTATGCTTATCATTTATCATGGGTATTGGCAAATATACACTTCACCTGCCAGCAGTCAATAGGAGCCCAATGAACACAAAATCCATATTAACTGGAAAGAATGGCTCTAGAAAATTGACCATAAAATCAAACCTTCACAGTGGAGCTTGAAAGCATCGAGAGAATACTGATGCAGACGGAACTAACAGTCATGGCAGGAGACCAAGAATCATATAGTATATCTGCAAAAGGAAATAATCAAATGTCAGTCATGCTGCAAGGATCTGCAGGTTTAGATTGAGGCAATCATGCAATGTGAGATAAACAATGGATTGCACCCCTCATCCCATTGAAGTGGTCACCATTCCTTTTTGAGATGTTCCATTTTATTTATCCACTCTCAAAATAGCATATGTATTAGTGATTAATTCACAGGTTTATGGAGCAACATAACTACCTTCAATTAGAAACTAACCACTTTCAACAAGACAAACTTTAAAAAATTTATCCCACTGAATAGACCATTAAACAATCACTCTTTAAATGGTAAGAAAACCGTAGTTCCACAGTTAATATGAGGTGGAAAGAGCATAACCGACATAAAAGCCATATACAAAGTTAAATCAAGCTTGAATCATAACAAATGACTTAAATCCTGCTTATCAAGAAAAGAAACAGCATAGCATGAGCATCAATACATGCATGAGTCCATTTGTTGTATTGCAAATGAACAAAAGGGATGAGAACAAAAAACTAAAACCACATTCTTATCTAATGACATCACTAAGGGGAAAAAATCTGGATAAACAGGTTGCATGATGGACATAATTTATATTGCAATAATTATTTAAGTCGGTTTGTGTTGCTATATTGTGCACAAGGTTATCACAATCCTTCATAATATCCATGTCCAATATTACAAATCACAAAAGTGTGAGCTATACTAGAATTTGGCCTCTGCAGGTCTCATTGAAAGTTAATGTTATGAGATTTATCTTACCATGTTTTCTAGCAATAATTAAGGTTTTGCTATCTACTTAATGGCGATATAAGAAACTAGAAAACTAAGAGATCGGCATACATGTACCATTGACCATGTCTTGTATGAAAATCTTGTTAAAGAGAGAATGGAAATATCTAAACCAACAACCACAAAAAAAAAAGTCAGCATTTATGGATAAGACCATCAAATTCAACAAACAAGTGAATATTGGCCCCGTTTATTTGCTGAAAAGTAGTTTCTTTTTAGAAAGTGAATTCCGGAAAATTGAATTATTTTCTGATATTTGATAGTATAATGAAAAATAAGTTTGAAAATATTTTCCAATGTTTGGTTATGTCATGAAAAATGAGCTAAAAAATAACTTATTAATCTTTTATTTTTCTCAAGTTTATTAAAATAATAAGTTACAAATCTTACAAATTGCAAAGTTGAATGAGAATAAAATTAAAAAAAAATTAATTTTATAAATTATCTAAAAAAAATAAATAATAATTAAAATAATAAAGATCAAATCTAAAAAATAAAAATAATAAAAGATGAAAAAATTAAAATAATAATAATTAACATTTCATTAATTATTTCAAATAAAATAAGTAACAATCAAAAGAATGAAGACCAAATTTGATAAATAAAAAATTTCAATAAAAAAATGATAAGAAAAAAGCAAATAACAGTTATAAAAATAAAGATCAAAGTTAATATAAAAATTAAATTTTAAGAGATGAAATTGAAAAATAAATATTCAAAACAAACTATATATATCAATTAAAAGTTTAAGGAGCAAATTTGATATAATCAACAAATAATATGATTTTTTTAAATTTTTCATAACTTTTGGAAAGTGTTTTCGGCTTAAATTTTTCAGGAAAACACTTTCCTGTAAACCAAGCTAAATTTTCCTCTGACTGGAAAGTGTTTTCCGTTTTCTAATGACAAACAAACACAAAAAAATTTAGAAAGTGATTTTCCAAAAACTATTTTTCAAGAAACAAACACAACCGAAATGAAGAGCAGAGAAATAAATCAGTTTGTATTGTAACAGTAGGAAAACTCCCGACCACCGAAGTGGGCTGAGATATTTCAACTGGGAACAGAATACAGTAGAGCAAATAATCCAATCGACCCAAAATTAATTTCATGGTATCTTAACTCCAATATAGAACATAAATAATTACCTAAACAAATATGGCCATTGCTATAAATATGCGGATGAAGCGGAGCCGGATGAAGAAATATAACCTGTTTAGAACCTCAATCAACACTATTTTACATGGAAAAACCCAATAAAAGTCTATACAGTTAACAATAGACTGATGCAATTGCAAACCTGAGGAGCTTCCATCGGGTAATGCTCAGGGAAATCAACTTGAAGCTGATAGGTCTCATTTGCATAAAGGGTGCCCGGAGCTCCAATGACTTCAATAACCCACCTTAAATTAAAAATCCCAAGATTATATTACAGATAAATAATCAACGAACAAATCAAATATAGAAACTAATTAGTCATGTTCTTTAAAAGTTTCGTTTTACAAACGGTCCCAAAAAAATCCAAACTTTAGTTTGATTTCTTATTTTCCCTTCATCTTTCTTTGATTTTCTCAGCAAGAAAACACAGTTTAACATAAGACAAAACAACCCATAACAGTAATTAAACAGAAAAAGACCAAACCTTTGGAGATTATCAGTGACTTTATGTTTGAAACCAGTTGGAGGATTGACTTGCCACTCAACAAGTTCTTTCTGAAGCCGATTGCAAGCAATCTTACTCAGTGCCTAAATCAAAACAAAACCCGCAAAATCACCATACGACTAATGATTGATAAAACAATTTAACAAAACCCCATATCATCGATTAAAAGTATGAACCTTGCGGGTCGTTGTAGAGGAGCTCGTCATGGTTGCAAAGGTAACTTTTGAGAGAGTTATTTGTTGGTGTGAAGGGGTGTTAGATAAAGGAACAAAGAGAACCAGTGACGGTTTATAATGACGGGTATAGAATGATTTGTGTTCCCCACCACCGTATTGCCATATCTTCTAGTCATCTACGAGTATTTTTTTTTTTAGAAGTTCTTACTATAACTTTTTTTATTAATTAAAACTTACTAAATATAGTTTATTAAAAATAATTAACTGCATTTTAAAGTATAAATAATAATTGGACTTTGAAGAACAGTAATCATTCTCAATTTATTCGTTTTATGTTAGAAAATAGTTACCATATATAAGCATATTACATACTAAAAAGTTTTTTTTTATAAAAATTTACAATTAAAAAAGACCAAAACAAAGGAGAAGATTAGCAAAAGCCAATGCACAGGGTAAAAAGGTCAAACAATAATAATATATTTTTTATTTAACAATGTGTCTAAAATGCTTGTCTAAAATGCTTGTGAATCTAATATTTTATTAGATTTAATTTTTTAAAATTTAATTATTTTAAGCTTAAATATACACTAGACTCAAACATCTAGCGTGTCAGATCTAACCCTCTCCAAATTAGATTTTTCTTCAAGAGTAAGAATTCGAAATAGAAATATATGGTCATTATCTCATTACAAAAAGATAATCTTGATAAGGGCTATTCTTGCATCAAATCGATAATAATATTTATTATAAGGGATGATCTCATCAACATTAATATTGTATATAAAATGATATAGAATTCTCTTTCATAAAGTATATGATGTTATTTATATTTAATATCGTATAGGAAAACTAGCAATCAATATTAATATTGATTATAAAGGTATTCCTCTCACTTGGATGAAAAAGAAAAAACTTACAACCCCTCAAAAAATAAAAAATAAAATTATAAATGCATTTTGAACAACCTAATTAGAGAGTTCAGAATATTCACACTCTTAAAACTTATTTTCAACATTTATAATATATAAATAAAGAATAAATATTTCTATTTTTAGAATTTAATGTTTATTTATCATAGATCTTCATAATAAAATCATTGACTTAGTTATTAAAAAATCCCTAAAATCCTCAAAAAAGACTGTTTTGCAAAAAAATTCAATCTTTGTTCCCAAACTCTAAAATCCTTAGTTATAAAAAAGAAAATATTAACATGAACTTATAATTATTCATTATCCAAACACGATGAAATATAATTTCCTTATGATTCTAGATTTTTTGAGCATCTTCATGTTAGATTTTTAGATGAAAATCTCAAAATGCATTCCTTCTATTTTTTTTATTTTTTAAGGTGAAATAAATTGGAAAAAAAACATACATAATTTTTTAAAAAGATAAATATAAAATAAATTAGAAGGGAATAAGATGTAAAAAAATAAAGATTAAATGTTTTGAAATCACGAGGATTATTTATTTAGTTTCATTAATTATGGAGACAATGTAATAATTATTTTTGCTGTTCATATAATATAGTAACTAGCTATGGCTGCTTACCATAACACACAATTATGAGCGCCAATTTTGCCACACACCCGTTCAACATGAATTGATACAGTTAGATTTTGCTATAATGATAATCGTACTTTAAAACAAGGTCCAACCATTACTTAATTTCTTTAGACAAATCCATTTCTATTGAGTTTAATTTTAATTTCGTCCATTATAAAAGTACTTATTATTGGTTTGGGCATCTTTGTGTCACATCCAACGTTATCACAATTCTATTTCTTTTTGAAAAACCCATGAAATAACTCAAATAAGATTGCTTTTCTCTTTTTTGCATAAGAAATAATAAAAAAAAAAAAACCTTGACCGAATACAAGCTTGTTCTTATCAACGGTCAACACCACCCTAGTTTACCTGTCATGCAGTCGCAAATCACTCAGATGACCCCACTCCAACCACCGGGAACTTCACCTTCACAGAATCATAAATGTACATTTCTGTTGGACCTAGCTTCCACTAGGCAAAAGCTCTGGTTTTCAAATCATCTGAACTCCTATCTTCAGACGATCGACTAATTGGCACTATTAGGACAACATTTAAGTGGGAACGAGGCAATGAACTTGTTCTCCAAATATGCAGAAATACATCAGCAACAGATGAAGGAGATCAGAGAAATAAAAGTTGACCAAAGGGTATTATCACCTCTCTGTTTGTTAGCGATCGACAGCATCCACATATTGCATGTGGGATTTTCAGTGCATATAATATAATACACACAGTTGCTCACAGATTCACCTACTACATCGCTATATAATTTTCAAACCTAGTATAATGCATGCTGGTGACAATGGGTCGATCTTGGTAATAAAAGACAACAAATGGTAAAGGGTCAAATTTCATTGCCATTTACTAACCATCCCCACCTGGCTGATGATATAAGCTTTGCATTTTGCAACGTTCTGATTCCTCGCTTATCCCACATCAAAAGCTCGAGAAAGAAAAATCGACTTTTACTTGCTTCTTACCTTTGCCCCTTTCTTTCTTTTTTAAGAAGGCATGTGCAATCTGCCCTTTTGACTTCTATTAGCATATTCTAGCCTTGTTCAATGGAGATGTTCCCTTGCAATTTGTCCTATGGGGGAATCTTCAGGGCAGAGGCATCTCGGAAAGACAGGCTTGGCACGAAAATATATATTTTTAAAGGAACAGGATAAATCCATCTTCTAGTTTTCTATGATTTCGTACACAAGATATCCCACCGTCTTTTTTTTTTTAGATTAACGTGGGTGTCCAGGCCAGTTTGCGCGCACCACGACTAATCCCACGGGCCCTGAAGTTAACGACCATGTAAGCCTCTAGTGGCCATCATATGAGCAACTAAGGACTCGAACCTGAGACCATAGAGGAAACAAACCCCTTGATCTCAAGTCCTTACCACTTGACCACCACCATAAAGGAAGCAAACCACTTTGATCCCAAGTCCCACCGTCTTTTGACTTGTCATCAGGTCGAAATTACTAATGTTTTCATTTCCCATCCAATCCTAAGGGCAACCAATAACTTCAATCCAAACCCAAATGAAAGCCTTCGGCAACTGTATTTGGCTGCCAAATAAGCTAATAGGACTCGTTCTCAATGTGATGAAATTGGATTTTGATTCAATATTATAACACAACTAGATAGAGATTTGATTTATACAAACTTTATAAATGGTATAACAAATATTTTTATGTACTAGTAAAATATATAGGTTCAAGATATGATTTGATCTCACCAAACTAGGTTTACTGTTTAAAAAAAACACTAAAAAATCTTATTATTGGATCAAAATTAATTTTTTCTAAATGATTCTACAAGCAATTTTTCTATAGCTAATCACTACATTGCTTATCTGATAATTGGATCTCTTGAGATTACAAATATAAGTATCAATTTTGTTATTTTTATTAGTTTTTTTGGATTTATTATTTAATTCAGATTTTTTATTAATTTCTTTAGTGTTTTTAAATTTCTAGTTATTTCCTAGTAGAGTTAGGGTTTTTTGATCTATTTATAGATCTTATGAATTTCTTAGGAGGCCAAACTCATTAATTTTATTTTTAGAGATATAAATGATGAATTTAAAATTTATATCTTAACTTTTTTTACTAGTTAAAATCAACATGTTTTCTATGTTATTGTTGTTGTTATAACTTTCACTTTTTTAGTTGGTTTATAACTTAATGATCATAAATTATTTGTTTGATGGGTGTTGTAATTTCATGAAAATTTATTGCTTGTTTTGTGTTACTACAACTATAATAGGAAAAAATTATGGAGTAGGGTGTAGTTAAGGGATGTGAAGGCTCCCTTTTTTGAAAAAGGGATATCTAAAAACTAGTTATTAAAGATATGCAAAAGCATATCACAAAGTAAGCTTATATGTTAGAAGATATGGACCTATAAGAGAATTAAGAGAGTGACCATAAATCTCTAGACAATACTAAAAATCTAAGGCATGATTAGAGGATATAACCTCTTGAGCAAGAAAAGGTTAGATATAGGGTTTTTGATTTTTGTTTTAAATTATTAGAGTTTGGTGGAACTTTGTAAATAGTCGAGTTCATAAATTAACCTAATTAATTTTTAGTCTTAATGGATCACTAACCTTAAATATTTAAGAATAATATTTTGATTTGGTATGAATATCATAATTATAATACTTTTATAAAAAAATTTGTAAAGATTTTTTGTCCAAAAAACTTTATCTTTAATCTAAATTAATTAATTATACATAGATAAATATTAAAGATAAAAAAATGTTTTTATTAATAATAAATATATTTTATATGAACAAAGTCAATATTACAAGTAAAATTGATTGGCTAGATAATATAATAAAAATGCTAAAATAAAAGGCAAAAACACTAAGGCTATAGGCAGATTTTACTATTCATTACAATAGTATAATTATGTTTTTGCCTTTACAAAAACAAATAATTCAAAGAACTTGCCTTTAAGGGTAATTCAATTTTTGCACATGATCCATTAATTATTATGAAATTATTCGGGGATAATTCAATCTTTTTGTATTTTTTTAGCACAATTAAATTATTAAATTACTCTTTAAAAGAACAAAAATAAATTATTAAACATGGTCATTTTTCATCTAGTTACTATTTAGGGATAACTCAATCTTTTTGTATTTTTTAGCACAATTAAATTATTAAATTACTCTTTAAAAGAGAAAAAAAATAAGTTATCAAACATGGTCATTTTTCATCTTGTTATTTGCACAATGGAAATTATGCCTTTAACAAGGAAAAATGGATAAATTGTTATTCATGGACTATTTTGTCTTTTTACTTTTTTTTTTCTTGTGTGATTTGACCCCTTGTTTTTTTTGTAATTTTTTTCTTTGATACGTTTTTTTAATTTATATTTTTTAAGATCTCATCCTCCAACATTAAATTGGTTGAAGATTAAGTTTCTTGATTAAACTTGAATTTCAAATTTCACGGGTTATTGTTTTGGAGGATTAACCCGAGTTTAAGAGATTCACGTGGGTTTGCTTGTTTTTTTCTTTTTTTTAAGCTGTTTTTTTCAATTTCAATTTCAATATTTATTTATTTATTTAATTTCATCATCCTTTAATTTTTTA